GATTTGAATTGGTTAAGTCATCGAAAAAAGCTTGAGCGAAATTGAATTCTTGTTGCATACCAGATTATTATTTATTTAAGGTTAACTACTGTAGTTTGAAATGACATCTCTTTGCTTTTTTCAGATATATACAGCAACGCTAAAACAGCAGAGAAAGACTCTAGAACTACCTACGACTACTCAACAATAGATACAATATATTTCTTCATGCCACTGTCGGGATTTAAGCTAGACGCCATTTTTCAACAATACCGAGGCATTTAGCGGCATTTAGTTTTGCATACTATTTCTTCATCCTTTTATAAAAAGATGATAGCTTGACGATAACATTAATTAAAGGTTTATCTCCAACCGTGATGCTTTTGTCAATATTTTACAGACAATGTTTTAATTTAAACAAAAAAAGTTATTCTTGGAATGGAATTATTGTACCATATCTTTTTATAACCGTAAGATGGTAATGAGTTTTTGAAAATATCACCAACTGACTGATTTTTCGTCTGACCGTGGTGSATGTCGGTTGAGCGTACATCACATGTCAACAATGACAAGTGACTGCTCTTTCTCTATGGCTTGGTTATGAATGGCRTAACAAGTTGGTCTCCGGGTCCTTACTTCAAGAGCAGTTGACGTTCGAGAATCATCATTTTGTGCTGTCKGCTTCCGCGCAAAGGAGAAAAGCTTTTTGATTTGTGCCTTAAAACCTCTCATTTGAAAGCTGTAGATGAAAGGATTTATCGACGAGTTGATGCAAATGAARACAACTGCAGCGTTATGAATGATAGATGCGTATTGAAACTGATTTGGCAAATGGTACGAAAGCATGTACAAAGTAAGAACAGGCATCCAGCATAARCCATAAATAACCGTTACAATGAGAACCATTTTGGTCACTTTTTTCCTGGACTTCACCACTGCAAGCTGAGAAGACTCGGTTGGGCTGGTTTGACGGCGAAACCAAAGTTTGTAAATAACCTTCACGTAAAGAGCTCCCATAATCAAGACAGGTACAGCAAAGTCGAGATTGAACATTAAGATTGTGTAAGCCCTGGCCAAATTGACGTGTGGCCAGTATTCGATACAGAATTGGCGTTTTTCGTTGAAGTTGATGACCAGGAAGGGAGGAATGTCGACCAGTAAAGCGTAGGTCCAGCAAGCAATGATGATTGCCTAGCACAGAAACGTTCGACTTCATTTGGTTTCAAAACTAAAAMATTGGGACTATTAAYATTAGACCTTCTGGRCATGTGCWATATTTTACTCAATTCAGATCGTTTGGAAGTAGAATTCGTTGTTWTATAATGATATACATATTCACTATTTGTAACTGCTTAAGGGTTACTGYGAAAGCAATGGATCACTCCCAGGGCTTTGAAATAGCACAGATATTAGCCTAGCCGAGGAGTTCGTGAACATCATTTCTATAATCATTATATGTTGCTGCTAGTTTTCAATTGAACTCAGAACAGAATGATTAACTATGGTATAACACTTTTATATAGATATGATAACAATTGATATTGAAGTGATAATGAAGAACATTCATCAGCATTCACATCAAACGCCTTTCCTTTCTAATAATGATGAAATATAACAACGACAACAGAAAAAATGATGCCACTATTTAAAGTTGAAATCAAAGTCTATCTACCTTAAGTTTTTTCTTGGTAATYCGTCCTTTCTCTAGACGAGGGTAGACWATAGCGTAATATCTCTCCACAGCAATAGCCACGAGACAAAACGACGARGCTGCTCCTCCTACCCACATGAAGTTCCCTCCTGTGATAAACTTACATATGTAGTCACCTAGTTCTCCACTGGGATGGTCGAAAGCGCTCAGGAAGATATGCCTTGGCGCCATAAAAACGGCTACCATCATGTCTGCCATGGCCAGGTTGACCAGGATGTAGTTCATAGGTGTCTTCATTGATCTGTAGTGTATTCAAACAGTACTTGCATTAGAGATAAGTTAATAAGAAGGCAATGAAACCTTGTGTATGTCGTTTTATCAAACGTAAGTTTGAAAATTAACATAAAATTCTTCTTTGCTCTKATGCTATCTCATTCAAATAACGCGAACATGTACAAAGTCTCCTTCAAGATTTCCTGCGCCATCTTGAAAGTTAACCAAGCCTTTTTTGTATCAAAGCGAGAGGACCATTGAGCATGCATTGATAGATACCTCTAAGGTGAATAATTGTCTGTGTGAAAGAAGATTTCTATATCATTGAACGCTCAACGTTCGTTTCACTTCGATGCAAAGACACGCGGGCTACCTGCCAAGATGACGCAGGAAACCGTGAAGGAGTCTATTCACCCCAGAATTTAAGAATCCCAACCAACCACAATACAGCGCGCGCTCGTGTTATTATATTATCTACATACGTTTAAATTCGTCAAGCATACAATAGATTATAGATTGATAGTACCTGTGAGGTACTTAGTTAAAGATATAGTTCTGTCCCAACTGAAAGGATGGAAGACGATTCACGCTCACTTTAAAAAATCCTACAAATCCGCTAATTTCGTGTCTACCTAAAACGGTAATTTGGTTCACAAGGTATGGCGGTTGGTTACGATTCTTTARTCTCATTAAAGTCTTTTTATCTCATTTATAGATCTGTTCGTTTTTAAGCTAAGCAATCATATACTGACCTGTTTCGTAAAACAACTATGCAGACGAGTGAATTCCCAACTAGATCAGCAACCATTAGAATACTAAGAACAACTATCAATGTCACTTTCCCCGCATCCATGATGAATAGCGTGGGAGATGTGATTAGATGGAGTCTGAAAAGTAAACAAATTGGAATTTTTTTTCAGATGATTTGGTTCAAACTCATGGCGAAAGGCGTTGGCTGTTGCAACAACTGCAGAGCTGTATTATCCAACCGTTTGTGCAACGATTGTTTAGAGCAGTGGAGGGACATTAAGCTCTATTTATTGTTTACAATATATATCAAGGTCATATATTTATGAAAAGTAACAACTTTATTAACTATAGACAATGCAAGGTTGGATGAATTCAGTATTAAATTTTTAATTCTACCATAAAATAAACCGGCTAGGCTATGCTAAATTTTGAGCGCCTTTCAGTTTTCCTTTAGTTTACTAGTCTTGCATGTGGGATTAAAGTTAGTATATATAGAGCCCAACTGCTCATGCTCAAAGTAAGTATATAAACATTTTTAATCTTAGTTTTAAAATTTAAAAAAAAAACATGAAAATAATTAAAGAAAAACATGAAAGAGCTTGCACAGAAGAGCAAGTGATGAACTAGATTAAACATTTGCAGCTGAACTATGTGATTTTCAAACCACGCACTCCGTTTGAGGATCGCCTTTAAAGATCCCCTGCACATACCATATATTTCGTAATATGATCTTCCCATAACTTTCGCTACTGCCTTGAAGCGCATTTTTATTTAAATCTGCAACACTGACATCTTTTATTAAACAAAGTAAGGGGCAAAGAATTGAAGTACTGTGAGAACCAAAACATCTGACAAAACGCGCCCGGGTCAACAATCATGGCAGATCGAATTGTGAATGACAAATTAAAGTTGATTTAACGGMCGAAAAGGAGATCCCCACACTCTACATACTATACAACACATTAAGGAAGACCTATTCCARAGGCCAGAAAGTTGCCTTAAGACGCCTTAAGCTGCCACAGTGCCCCGCCCAATTTTCCCTCGTTTCTTAAGTCGCCTTAAGTTGCGGCGCCTTAAGTTGCGGCGACTTTCTGGCCTGGAGTAGTCCTTTAAGTAAAACAGAATGAATAGTACCGAGTAYATTCATATTCCTAGTTGATATACAACATCGAATAGAATTAGACAAGTAAGGGCAATATTTCGGTTTTATTACAAAACCATCATCGGGCTAAGTGAATGAGTGTCCTGATAATAGTTTCGTAATAAGCCGAAATATTGCTCCAGTTACATGTCTAATTCAATTCCATGTTGACTATCAACTAGGAATAGCGAATTTATCAGCCTGTYCTGGATTTAGGCCTTTAAGGACCTACTATAATGAGTTAGTATTGGACAGTTATTCTTATTTAAACGATCACAAGTTGATTACCTTTAAGTTATCAATTTTCCTTTAAGGGTATACTCAAGTTCTGGTGATATTGTGCTCGTCGTATCGCCAGCAATCGTATTCACGATATTTCAAAATAGTATTTGTTTTAAAACAAGTGTTTGACTTGTTAGAGGGATGGGCAACATGGGTGACTGATTAGATTGTGTATGTCGGAGATTTTTGTTAAAAAAAATTAAGAAATCAGGTGTAAATCAATAAGGCGTAGTCGACGGAGGTGTACGAGATACAATGCAAATGAGTAAAAGAAATAACCGAGAAATTGAGTTCGGYAAAGACGCCGGTAAACTCTATTTACAAGATAAACATGGAGCCCCCATCGAGAACAAGCCCGACGTAAATATCCTTGTTTCTTGATACCGTGGTTTGATAGCAAGGAATTCAGCGAAAGAATGAGATTCGGTGCTACTTTTTCATCTATCAAAGATGAGCTGAGGCAAATTTTTTAGTCTAATTTTTAACTTTCGTTCGAAAAAGTCTTATATCCTTTTATTTTTTTTCAAAATTATTTCATTTATTTTATTCATAACGCTTAGCCTCTAGAGAAATTGATACAAGCTGACATCGGTGTCTTGAAATAAAATTCTAGATTCAGTTTGACGTAACACTTAAGTCAGGTAAAGCCAAACGTTGAATGTCACATGTGTCGACTTCAATGCAATTAGTGGACTTCGACACTAGTGAGAGTCGGCGTGAAACGGCCTACTAGGTCCATGCTTTTAGCCGTGCACGTGTACTAAGATATTCGTTACAGACGTTGTTGTTTRTTTGCAATAAAATCATGACAGTCTGCTTACTGATAATCCAAATATGCTTGCATAGGGATAGATTTTTGTTAAAGATACCACGGACAGTTTACGGTTGGCGGCGGCACATGTAACCAAACAACGCTTTTATAATCTTATTATAGCCGCACCTTATGTCCATAAAATATAGTTGAGGATTAGTCTAAATCACTACAGACTTATACAAAGGACTGGTTTCTATGTGACTCAAAACTGAAATCCTTTAATAAGTMTTAAACAGTAGTCTATCTCACTCTATTTTTCAAATGTAGAGATAACCTTACAAAGTGTTATACTAATAAGTTATTTTACTCAGTATTTTGAAAACTTTAAAACCTGCTGAAGTTGGTCAGAAAAAGAAGTATGTATCTTCAATTTCAATGCAAAAGTCTTCATTTTCATGGTAAAAATTTATAAACGTTTACAATTTTGAGGCTAATGTTTGATTGTGACTTCCCTACTCAGTTACTGTCAAATGTAACATGTTAAAAACTGATTTGAAAATAGCACGGAGCTTACCTTTTTATATGTGAATGTTTGACTCGGATGAACGGATCTAATCGCAAATATAATCGCATAAAAACAGCCGGGTCAAACAGGTGTACCCATCRTGCACTGCGGGTCTGGTCTGATGCCGTCACGTTTCCATGGAGACGACGTCGTTCCTGTCAGATTAATCAACTTCTGATTGTTTGAAATWATAATAAGTGTAATAAATCGGCAAATGAAAATCTAAGACCGGCAACTGATGGTGTTAAAGTCCAGTACATGAAAGTACATGAAAGAAAAATAGAATTATCAAGTGCTCAGATGAATTAAGGCGTAGTTCACGCGACGAATTTCGCATGTACTTAATAAAATTCACTAACTACACGCTGTATGGAGACATTTGAATAGATTAGAAATAAGTTGAAGTACACACGACGTCAGTTGAACATACAGCAAAGATTCATCAACAGTAGTATCAATGTTTGTGCAGAATACAATCAATATTACATTTTAGTGTATATTTTGGATCCCGCTAAGAGAGCTAAAACTTGATTAAAAAATCTGCATAAGGTAGTACTCAACAAATAGGAGAATTCTGCTTTCGTCCTTGTCAACATAAACTGACAACACTAGTTTTCAAAACCAKTTTTCAGAAATAGTGATGGATATACAAACGACAAATGAGACGCTAAATTTACCAATTCGATGATAGAAATTCAGTATAAAAAAGTAGAAATCCCTAGATGTACATAAATTTACGTGTAAAATGAGATAAAAATAAAGAAAATCACTGCTGGAGTTAWTGTCATTGAACTCGGCACACAAGATACTCGACGTTTGAAAAAGMCTCTCAAAGCACTCTTTTGTTCTCAATCATTCTATAATATGATCACAGACAAAAAGAAATTTAATTCATACCSGTTTGCAATATATATCAAGTGTCATTGTCTATATTTACACAAGATGTCGTCCTTATATTTGCACTCTTCTTCTCGTGTAAACAAAAGTGAAAAAAATGCCATAATAACCGAGAATTGTCAATCATGAGATTGAAAAATTACTTAAAAACGATAACAAAAACAAATAAATTCAGTTTTCCCATTTCTACACAGACACTTTAATAGTACGCGATTTCCTTTTAGCGAATGAGATATTTAAACGGCTATTTTAATTTTCCATAAATCAAGATCCTAACATGCAGTTTATGTTTTCACGCGTAGGAAGAAGTTATTGTGAATAGGCATCGTGCTGTGATGAGATCGTCATTAAATTGAGTTCGAAAAAAAACAYAATATATTTGGCATCAATACACTCTGACATACGTAATTTTAATGTATAGGTGACATGTTCGTTAAGTGCTCTTAAGGCCCGTTTACACTTGCGATTTTTGCAGCGCGGTAATCGCCACTTTGCTATCGCGCAATTAAAATCGTACGTGTAAACAGCCCTGCGATTGCTGCGACCATGCAAAATAGCCGCAAAGTTGCAGCCAATTTTCAAACATATTCGAAACTCAGGCGATGGTCGCGCGACGATCGCCGCGTGAATCGTTCTGCAAAGATCGAAAGTATATAAGGGGGCCTTCACAAGGCATTCACCGTGAATGGAAACTTTTCTTATCTGTCTATAAAGTCTAATTTCTACGAAATGGTCGGAATCAGTCCCGTATTTCGATAACATGCCTTTTCTTTGTTTCCTTCACGGGTTTAATGTCCTTAAGCTTGACTTCAATTACCTCGAATAAAATTCCTACTGTRAAGAGAAGAGTAAATCAACTCTTGAAATAAAATTGAAGGCGGTATCCCATAGACACCAAAGAAGACCATCCATTTTGCGATAAATGAGAGTGTCCTATAGCCTTTTACGCGGTTTATYGTCTTCACTTTAAAATACAAAAGGCCGATTTACACGGTACGATTGTCRCGTACGACTTGTAGTGCACGATTTTCCTACGACAAGTCGTAGGGTTCAGTTAAGCCGTGGTTCAAAATCCTACCACAAGTCGTATGTTGTGTACGGCTGCTGTAGACAGGTCGTAGGGGCATTTACAAGGTGCGATATAATGGAGCTCATTTGAGGCGTATATTAGAAGTCGCACGCGAAAATTGCACCCTGCAAATCGGCCTTAATAGCTTTCACTAATAGCATATAAAGAAAGAAAAATYGTACTGAGAAAAAACTTGTCCTACATTCAACTTTTAAGAACCGTTTACACTTCCGATTTTTTCAGCGCGATTGTTGCCGCTTTGCAATCGCGCAACTAAAATCGTACRTGTAAACAGCCCTGCGATTTTTGCGAAGTTGCTGCTAAATTTTATGCATGTTCGAAACTCAGGCGATTGTCGCGAGAATCGCTCTGCAAAAATCGCAAATGTAACGGGCTTTTAGTGTTATTTAGTGTAAGAGAATGATTTTCATAAAACCGTAAGTGCGATAAAAGTGCAAGAGTGTGATACACCGAGGAAACAAAGAAAAACGCGCACAACAACGCGGAATAATGTGTAATGCGTCAAGGTGTACTCAATGCGTTTATAAAAACAGTTCAAAATATAGATATCGTTGAATAACTGTTAATAAGCCTTACTATTCTTCAWAGTAGGGGACAGAGAAAATCCCTTCATAGAGTAGAGTGTGGATTAGTTTAATTAATCAGTCCACAGATTTGTCGAGGGTTTTTCTCACTGAGATCTGCATCACTCTTAGTTAATATCTTGTTATCCTACACAAAACCCTTAAAAATATCCAAACACTCCATCAAGAAAACCAACATTGATAATAACCTTCATAAGACATACAGACCGAAAGCTGCTAACTAGCTTTATTTACTCTCCAGAAACTGTGTATAAAAGCACTTTTTGTAAACAATTTTTGTACAGAATAACAAGCGTATCAAAAATATTTCATATAACTTTTGGGCTAAAGAGTAATTTATAAAAGTTTAGACGCGGATTCGTTTTAAATTTATCGTGTTTGCCTTTATCGTTTCAGATCGTAGCAGTTCAGCTGCCAATGCGATATCAGCCATTGATTTCCAGCTGTTTTCAAGTCATGGCGGAAGTATCCAGATCTTCTCGGCTGTAGTTGACCGTCAGATTCCTGGGCAATATTTAATAATTCAGTCCCACGCCCACGTGCAGTCGGCARTCGGTCAGATATTCGCTGAAGTAGTCTGAGATGGCTCTTATCATAAGTCTTAAGTCAAGACTTCACCCAAGCCCTGTMCAGACTTTCCTCGTTAGATCAAAAAGCGTATTAACAACTGGGCGAGGCAGATGCACTAGGTTGAATATCCAGCAACCATTTCGTGCCTTCTCAACAGTACATTATAAATTATTTATAAGGATTTTCTCTGAGTTTCAGTCTACTTGTGTATTGCTTTAATATATCGAATAAGTTCTTAGAAATGCTTGATCGTATATTCCCGCGATCGGCGTTGTATCCTGTGGGMTGCCGCGATGYYGCTTGATTATAAGATACTGGTTTATCGTTTGGGATCCCTATGTTACAAGTATCGTAACCATGTTTATCTTTGATAAGCCACATTTTATCAATTACTGTGTTATTCTGAAAGTAGAATTTTTAAAATCACTGTTTAATGTTTATGATTTTAAGAATAAAAAAAATATCAATATGTGATTAAAAAGTTGATTATAACGTCAGAATCAGTAAGTTTAATAAGTCTTGAGGACCTTTAGYTTTATTAAATGATTAGCTCTTGTACTGAATTTTTAAGTTTTAAGTGTAGTTTAGGATTTACAAGCAAAAAAGGGAAACGCCATTTTGTATGTCAAGTCTAAGATTACAGCTAGATCATACAATAATTATATTAATAGTAATGTCCTAGCAGATAACAGATTCCCTATCTTAGTAACATACCTTGTCAATGCTGACTTGCTCTAAGTATAAATGTGTCTTGTTATGCACTTTCATTCTGGTATATCCGTAGTCCAGCGTACGGAACGCAGTCCATGTTCCAAAATTTCTTTTGAACTTATCATGGCAATATTTACAACCCTGAAAAAAAAGATTAATTGTTCTTTTCAATTATCATTCAGAGCCGGGACGAACCAGCAATCCCCTCATGCTTATGTTGTAGAGTGAACCAGCCCAAGCAACCTATTRCTGAATGAGAAATTTTCCACTTACCGCTGACCCAGTAGTAATGTGCACGGGCGCACATGGGTTTGTATATGGCTGCTTGAGAGATCCGTTATAAATCTAGACAGACAATAAGATAATTAGATAGAAGAACATTAATAAGAGTGGGAGATTGAGTGGGACATGTTTAATTTTGTTTAGACATAAAACTATAGATTGGAAAACGAAATATGAAAGGTAAGGAGGATTTTTTCACAAAAGGAATTGTAATGAAAATACTAGGACTTGCATGGTATGAGCACCAATGAGAAACTCATGATATACTTAGAATATYACACTAATTATCTAACTAACAGTTAACTTAACTATAGTCCCACGCCCTTAAGGATATCAAGCACTGACCAACACTGAGGACGAGGGAGGGGTGGGTAACCCAGAGTATTTACGTGTTTAATATATCTCACCTCGTGGTTATATACAGGGAACAATCTTTCGTACGAATGCTCATGCGCCCATATCTCAAGGTCGACACCTGATTCATGAAATTATCTTTAATTATTATTTCTAATCAAAGGAAAAGCATTTCTGTTCTCCTCGGTTTTCTAGGAAATCGAGAACAATACAAAAAGGTTTCTGTAAGGTGTTCAAGTTATCGCATACCGTGTTTATATCAGAGGACAGAGACACGCGCGCCGTTTTAAAGTTCTTAAAGGGACACTGTCAATGGATGACATACGCAGTAACAGTCTCACCTCTAACGGACTTTGAAAATATAACCTTCGAGGTAAATCATTTTGTGGTGCTTTTGACACACTTTGGAATATTCTAGATCTGTTTACGCTTACGATCTGATTTATATCGCGCCAACTTGGAGTCATAAACTTGAAAACACTAGCCTAGTGTTTTCAAGTTTAYTCGTGCATGTCATCCATTGACAGTGTCCCTTTAAGGAAAAGCATGCTACGCTTTTATTTGTTTTTCTCTGTTTTCTAAGAAATCGAGAACAATACAAACAGGTTTCAGTAAAGTGTGCAAGTTATCACATACCATGTTTGTAGAACAGTTCTTCTAGTGGGAAAAGCTTTAACTGTGTAATGCCTGTCCTTATCTGCAAGGAAATTGTCAGGTTTGAATGATGGAAAGCAGAATAGTATTGTAGCCTTGATGGGGGCAAGGGCCTTTGAAACAAGTTAGAATACAAAATAAATAGACCCTCTAAAAGTTAGGAACACAAAAATCTTCACCCTCTTCTAAGGTGTGTTTTAAGTGGAGTCCGCCCCTTTCAGACCGACCACCCCAAACCCCCCTTCCCTCCTCCTCCTTTTCAAGGATCAAACATAGTCCTCCTTGTTCCTCCGTCCACTTCTTACGCTGATTTCGATGCGATCGTGATTTAAGGACTTTTTATCCTCTTTTTTGTTAAAATGAGAACTAACCTCATTTTCATGATTTTCGCAGTTGTCTCCAACCATATTTGAACAGTACATTGGACGGTGAGCCATTGTAATGATCCATGGACGCTTAGCACGATTTTCAGGCAAATTAGCTTCCTATATCAATAGATAGAGACATCCTTGTAACGTGATGGCGGCCAAGTTAGATTGGTGCGAACTGAAAGTTTCCTTGGMTTTTTCATTCGCGCCAATCTCCCCCGGCTCTCACACACACAAAAATACCTATTTTTCTAACACATTATTTAGTATTATATGCAGATAAGGGTAGTGTTTGAAATAATGCACGATTGCTTGTTGACAATGTATGATTGATATATTTTCACAACTCCTGGTCTCTTTTAAGAGATCCTTAAAATTTAAAATTTATGAGAAACGTTATTTAAATCTTTAATAAAACTATAAAAAACTATATCATGTGACAAACAATAGATATCCTTAAAAAGATCTTAATAAAGATCATTTTACGTAATACAAGTACTTACGCAGAAAAGACACTAAATTATCAAACAAAACTCAAAATGGGACTAAAAATACCTCTAAATCCTTTTGAAGCCATTTATATTGATTCACCAATTGTTCGATGCCATATTGTAAAAAGTAGTATAGCTCGGTGCTGAAGCTAACTATATGCACAGGGCCAATATTCCAGCTGAAAGAAATAAATACGAACATATACCGAATTAAACGCACATACTATTTCAAGACGATAGCATGGTGGCTCGAGTCACCCTTTCACGTCGTCATTTGTCTTTTTTCAAGAGTCGGAAACAGACTGTAAAAAATCTAAAGTTTAGCTACTTACCTATTGATCAATTGGCGGAAATTGTTGCAAATATTGTCAAAGTAGCGATTAATTATTATGAAGCATGAGATTATTTGATATAGTAGCTGTTACGGTAATTCTTCTCCTTTATAGAGACAGTACATACCTATAAAATATTCCTTGCGTATCTCCTGGCATGCTAAATCTCTCTCGATAATTCGAAAAATTACTGAAAAACACAAAATATGTCTGTCAAGCTCCAAAACTTTGATTTTTGTTATTTACAACATAACACTCACCACGCATGCTCGTGGTTCCCAGGACATACCATATATGGCACATATGCTGCCATTGTCTCRATTTGATTCATGAATGCATCGGCAACCTTTGACTCGTCCTGCAAAGTTAGTAATTGTAACACTTTATAATTTTAACCACAATTCAATGATTTGGGCACAATACAGCCGCCATTTTGATTGTCATAATTTTCCGTAAGAAACCATTCACGACTTTCCATACTCAGGTTAATTGACCATAAACAAAGCATTGAACCGAGTCGCCAAGGTACAGTTAACATAAAAGAAATGATCTGTGATCAGTGTTCCTTGACGCCTCGGTTCAATGCTTTGTTCGTGGTCACTGAACCTGAGTATGGGACGTCGTGAATGGCATGCMGAAGGGGAACTTAAAAAATCCAAACTTATTGTACAGCTCTTCAATACCAATAAATGCAAAAAAAGACATCTAATAACTACTAGTAATAATTTTCTGTGGACTTACCTGATGCATGTCATAAGCAAAGTCACCTAAAGAAATGTAAATAATAAATGGTTTTAGATACTGATTGATAGAAATAAATAGTGAAAGAAAAACTAATACATTTTTTGTTGAATATATTATGTTAGCTTACCAACATGCAATATGGCGTCATATTGTCCTTCCTGTGCCTCCGTTTGTAGCTGGCTAAGTGACTGGGCGTTACCTACACCAAGATCTCCATACACAGCAAAACTAGGGGACCAATTGGTACCGATTTGAGATGTATTGAAATGATACATAGCGCTCCATCCGTCATCTCCTCCACAGCGGTAACCTAGAGAAAAAATGCWGGCAATGAATGCACAGGCGTACCTAACCTCCTCCGAAGGCAGCAATTTCCTTTGCAGAGAGGGCTGCAGAGGAGGCTGTGACGCTGGAAGCACAATCATGAAGTGATGGCCTCCAGGGAAAGCCTGAATGTAACATGCGTCTAAAGACCTGAATAACGTCAATTGTAGACTCTCGCGGTTACTTTTCTAAGATATATTTAGGAATTATTTTCTTAAAAATTACAAGATACTAGACTTTTTTTGCTCCCCAAAGTAAACATTATATCTAGATTATGCCCGCCGAGTTGCTGCCCTTTCATGGATCCGCTTTTCCATCTCAACGGCTTCCGCCCGATTTTCCATTCCCGTAGGGCAACAACCTCACCACCCCTCC